TTGGCCCTTTGTAGTTTATACGCAGCTTCGTTTACATGTTTTGCAACTGCTAAAAATGCTGTGTCGTCCGCAAAAGTTACCATCGTTATATCAACCATTTCCGGGATATCACTAGTAAACAGCAGCTACAAAACTGGTCTTAATATATTGCCTTAAGGCACACCCGCTTGTATGTTTTTAAACTCAAATTTGTCTTTTCCTTGCTTGATGTAAAAGACTCCTTCTGCCAAGTAGAATTCTATTATTTCCACGAAGTTTTTTGCTAAAATTCTATGCAATTTCTAAACAAGACCTCCATGCCATACTTTATCTAATACCCCCGCCACATCTTCCAGAGCTTTTTCAATAATATCCGTTATTCGATGAACTTGTTCTATCGATGAGTGTTGCTTTCTGAACCCGAACTGATGCGCTGGAATTATGCTGCCATTTTCAATCGCAGGTTACAATCTTCTTAGGTATAGCTTTTCAAACAACTTCGAAATAACTGGAAGTAACGATATTGGTATCTATGATGTCGTTTAAGTAAGCTATCCCAACTTTGTTATCATAATTATCTCAGTTACTTTCCAAGTTGCTGGAAAATGCTTCAGCTTGACTACAGCGTTCATTATTTTAGATAGGAATGATATCGCTTTTTTAGGTTATTTGCTTAAATATTTCGGCGGTGATTAAATCAAATCCCGGGAATTTTTGCACCCGTAAAGCTTTTATTTCCTTTGACTTTTCTATTTTGTTGAAGAATGTTATATTATGCGTGTCTGGAACATGAGTTGATCTGAAGCTCAAGTTGATATCAGATTCGCTGTTGTTCGGTGTAAATGATCAGCAAATATTTCCGCCTTTTTATTGTCGTTACACGCCCAATTTTCATCCCTTTTTCTGACTGGCGCCGAGTGTTCTATTGATCATTTCAATTTGCTTGTTGCTTTCTACAGCATGTATTTCCGGACAGACTCTAGAATTCTGGAATATTTCTGGACAGACTCTTCTTTCATATCTTTGATCAATCTTCTTAAGCTTTGTCATCTATTATTTAATATATCTGCTGACTCGTGTTTCCTGCCATCTTCTCCTGGTTCTACCTGTCTGGGGTAATTGTAACCAAATTTTTTTCTGTGCTGGACTTTGTGCCTACCAAATGAAGCACACATTTTGTATATCTTTCGTAAACTTTCCTACGGCTGCTTCCAAATCGTCTTCTGTTTCCAATACTGTATTTAAGTATATTCTTGCTTCTAAGTTTAGCTTAAAACTTTCGTAAATTTTTCTGCGGCTGCTTCCAAGTCGTCTTCTGTATCCAATACTGTATTTGAATATATTCTTTCTTCTAAATTGAGCTTAAAACTTGCGTAGTTCATAGTTGCGTTTCTTTTTTCAACACCTTCTCGCTCACACTAAGCTATTCTTGACAGAGGCGAAATTTTCTGGCACTCTTTTTGTTATAAAAAGATCCAAAAGATCAGGTGTTTTGTTAAGATGTGTGGGCCAGAAGTCGGCTTACGTGTGGAGTAAAATACAAATCCAGTTTCTCTTATAGCTTTTCTAAGCTTTCTGCCTCAATGCCAATGTTATCCTGGAACCCTAATCGCAGTGCTTTGCATTGAAGTCATCTCCAAGAATAAATCTGTCCCCCAACAGTTGAATCACTTCCTTGAAAATTTATTTCTTAGTGGAATACTTAGGTGGGTAATACATTTCTCCTAGCTGAAGGTTTTGCTCTGTCTCTATTACCTTAATTACACTCAGTTGTGTTTTTTATTTTTTACCTTGCAAATTTGGAAGGGCTGAATTTCTTCCTTAATGATAACTGCACTACCCCATTGCGATGGATTTTGCGAGGTGCATTACCGAATAGATTTTGCGACCGTTAATTTTCATTTCTTTGAATTTGGTACTGCATTCTGACACAAGACATATATCTATATTTTGTAACTTTAATATAGTCTTAGACTAATTTTATCTAAGAAACTCAGTATTTTATCCATTGTCTGCCAAACAATGTTATCATATGTTATAGCTATTTGTTTATGCTTTGAAGGCATATAAATTGCCTTTTGACTGGATGTCTTTTTTGTTGTCTTTTATCTTCGGTCTGCTTGCTCACCCTCGGAGTTTCTTGGTATCAATCGGAAGCTGGCTAACCTTTTGTGCAGTGATATCGGACTATGTCACACCACTTATTATTTTCACTGATGTGAATGATTTTGGCTGGCTTTTCTGTTTTATATCTTTCCTCATGTTTCGGCTTCTTTGTAGATCTTTGGCTACTACACATTCTCTGTAATTGACTGAATGAGATTTTGTGCAATTTGCATATTTTGGGGCGGCTGATTTTGGCTTTGTGCAGGAAGCTGTCAGGTGATTCCTGCACATTTCTTCTCTAACTTTTTTAGCAATATTAAATGCTGCGTGTATTTTGAAGTTCCTTTCTTTTGGCAGATAAGTCGGGTTCTATAATATCTTTTGGCAGATAAGATGGGTAACCTCTTGCAACCACTTTAATTGATCTCGTGAGTTTGTTTTCGTAGGTACGCCATTCGAGTTAGTTTTCATTTATTGTTTTAGTGAGGTTTCTGTAATCTGTCTTTTTCCACATTTGTCTTTAACTGTTCGCTGTTCAAAAACTTTCACCTCGTAGCGTATATTTTTTTCCTTTTAAACACTTGTAATCGTTTATGTTACTTATAATTACTGATGGAAGCTTGTGTTTTGCTTCCTTATCAGGCTCAGGATATGATGTTTCATTAACTTACAGTTATATTTTCTGAGGAGTTTTATTGATTGTTGTTACTTATCTTTGGAGAGCTTCCTGCTTTCCTTTTCTTTCTCGGATCCTTTTGAATTTTCCATTCGATTTTTTGGCTAATTCTTCTTGATTTCTAAGCATTTATCCGAAAGCACGTTGAAAATGCTTCCAGTCCTAGGCCTATTACCAACATTTGCGAAACTTTTATGAAATGAAAATAAAATATTATGAAAAGTAAATTTTGTTGTTCTCAAAATAAAAATAAAAAAATTCTAACTAACTTGATTTAATTTTATTTCAGTTCGGTGTTTTTGATACACTCGTTTGTTTACAATATTTTGTTTCTTTCTTACCTACACAAATCTTATTATTATCTATTTCTAAACAAAACTGGAATCTCTTGAGAATTTGGAAGTAAAATGTAAATTACAACTAACGGAATGACAGGAGTCGAACTATCTTTTGGGTTGATATACTTTGTTTGTATACCAAATAAAAAAAGAAAGTCCAGTATTTAAAAATACATTATAAAAAATTGGTAGAAAACCGTACACCTTCTCTCTCCCAATAATTCTATTTGTACAAAATTGTGAAAATAACATAAACTCCTATAATGTACAAGACATCTTAATAACTTTGCATTTGTGGGTATAGGATAATTTTTTAAAAATAAGAAGACTATAGAATTTACTTAGTCCACATATAAGTTTCGTGCGGGAATCTACATCGCTGAGCAGTAAAATAATTTATATGTCGTTTAACATTTAATTTAAATTTAAACTTAGTGAATATTTACATTAATTATTGACTTAGTTTCTAATTATTTATAGACTTATAATTTACATCAATTAAATTTTTTCTTTGTCATAATATATAGTATAAAACAAAGGTGAATTTTGAAAAAATAATTAAAAGTTTTTATTGTAAGCATATTTAAATAAAATATAATAGTTATTTGATTACCTTCATATAAATAGAAAAGCCCCGAACGTGTTGGGTTGAAGGATACAGAAGCAATACTCTACGAGAAAAGGAGGACGTAAATACTCTACCTACATTTACTCTTCCAAAGAACGAGGTCATCAGGGATAAATAGATACAAGCATTAAGAAAAAGGAATTGGCCGCCAACAAAATATTCAGCGATATGTATTCAATATTTTCCGTCGAAAGACGTACAACTTTAATTAATGACACAAAATGAAAAACTCCACATGATTCGTCGAGATAAAAATTATTTAACGGCGCAATATGTCCCGTTTTCCTGGAATAAATAAGAATCAAAATTTAAATTTCGGGAATTAAGACCAAACTTTTAATACAAGAAAAATAAAACATTTTTGGTATTTTTGTAAATATTTATAATTTTTGTTTTATTTAAAATTTTCATAATTTTTATTTTTACTTTGTAAGAACTTTTAATTTATTTTTTTTTGACAAATATAATTTAATCAATTACCTTTAATGTTAAGAATTTATATTTTATGAACAAACATTTGATGAAATACCTCTGTTTTGTTCTTAAATGTTACTAGTTTTAAGAAAAATGGATTAAAAATCTTATTTTTTTATGTAAATATGTTGTGTAGTTAACAGAAAAAATGAACTCAAACATTTTTTTAAAAACAAATTTTTTTAGATACTTACTATTTTTTTTTATCTACAAAATATTTTGTCACCTGTAATTTATTATTCTAGTCTGTACGAGATGAAATTTCATTTTTTTCTTTTTAAAACGAAATAAATCAATTTCTCTACATATTTTGCATTTAATCGTTTTTTATTTTTAAAACATCCCAAATCGCGACGAGAAATTCTAATTTATTGGCAAATGCCTAATATAATTCTTACCTAATATATTTCTTAACAAAATTTATAATGATCAATTTCAACAAACAGCAAGGCGTAAAGAGATGAGCTAAATTTTATATCACATGGCAAAGAGGAAAAAAACTACTATACCTTAAATGTTCTCTTACTAAGTATATTTTGATGTAAGTTAAACCATTTGCAAAAAAAAATATCTACGAAAAACTTAATCGACTGCGACAGCTACTGTGAAATCCTACTGCTTATGTCTTGTTGCTTGGACATAAGAACATAATAATAATATGTAAAAAGAAAATTTTGTTAATTGACATTAATAATAGAAGAGAAAATTATGATAAGAATAGTTAAATACGCTATAAAAATACTCATTTGTTTTAAATGAATACAAAAATATAAAAAATTTAAATAAAATATTCATTTAGATTGTGGTGGCATGGTGGAAGGTTTAGGAGGGGCGATTACAATGATGAATATGATTGAAAATGAAACTGAAATTAAATATTACGACTGTATATGGATCATTAAACCAGCTAATAATTACATGATGATGAAAACTCACATTTCTGTAAGAGTAGATACTTTTATTGGGATGGAGTCTAATTCAGTTGTAGAGCTTCGCCAAGGAACAATTTCAACAGCTTTGTTAATAGAATCTGTCAATTGGCCTTCTTCGAAAATAAGTGAAAAAACTCATATAACGCCAATTCTGTCTGGATTTTATATACATTTGAAAGGAATTTTTGGAAAAAAATCTCGTTTAGCAATTGTTTACAGTGTCTTTAATTACATGAGTATGATATTTTATAATTTAAGGTTCACCCATATTATGGTAGTCGTATCGCATAAAATGATAATATCACCTCTAAGTACTACTCTAGTAGATTAACAAGATAGTTAAAGTGCTACTAACACTGGCGTGATGGCAAATGTCAGAATCATGGCGTGTGCTATTTCTGTAAAACTTTTCATACGACCGTAATATTTGCGTTCTATATATAGGATAGACCAGAAGTAGGCAACCAGCGGCCTCGAGGCCGCATGAGGCCCTTAAGGCGCTTTGTGAAACCCCGCCCCGCCGCCTTTCGTATTTTTTAATGTCTTTTAAATATTAAATTGCTTTCAAGTAAAAAACAAATACAAATATATTATTAAATATAGTCTAACATGAATTAAATTTATTAAATAATATATTTGAAGTTGTTTTTGGATATTTATGTTTACTTATTTGCTTTTCATTGAATTGATTTGTTATTTTATTAATATAATTTTATTCATTTTTGTATGTATTTGTGTATGTATGCATAAAAAAAAATTGATTTCAAAATAAAAAAAAAAATTATTTCGAATAAAAAAAACTGAATTAAAAATTAGAAAAATGGAACTGTACAAAAGCTACATTTACTGGGATTAAAACTTATGCGGTAATAACTTATACCTCCTTAGTTATTGCTATTTTAGATTTGGCCTCCATTTATAAAAAGACTCCCCACCTTTGGGATCACGCCAAATTCTTTTAGTTCAAATGCATAAGATAAATAGAGAAAGGGACGAAATTTAAATTAATTTTAGTATAAAATAGTTTTAATTCAAAACTAATTTTATACTAAAAATTTTACTTTTTTTGTTTTTTGTATTGAATTTTTGTTTTTTACAGAGCAAAAATATTTACACATATGTTCTTCTAATAAAATTAATTAATGACAATCTCGAAATTGCCACAGGTTTTTTGTAATAATTAAACAAAATTAATAATTTGGTTTTAAATCTCTCAAGTTGCGTTTTAAAATCTGTTTCGGAATCTGTAAATACTTTAGATATTCAAAAAATTCTTTTTGAGTTTAATTTTAATATTTAAATATAGTTATATAAATTTTTTTGCAATGCTATAGAGCTTTTGCTAATTATGATAATGGGTTTATCACGATTTTGCAAAAATTATTTCGAAAAAATCGCTTTAAAACTTTCTTTCCATTATTTTTAAATTGACATAACCTAAATATTTTTCGCGTCCATCTATTTTCAATTCTACCAACCTTAAAATATTTTTATCGCCCCTTCACACACGAGTACAAGGAAAGGTGTGTTTATTATACCAGTGATGCGGCTAACAGAATATGGGTGATTGTGTACGTTAAATGCGCAACAGCTTTATTTTAGATTGTTATATTGGGTCAGAATTTCTCTGCCAGAACAACCATTGCTTATCAATTCGTTTACATTGTGATGGATTTGATCAGTGTGGGGATGGAAGCGATGAGCCTGAAACCTGCGGGAATCAAATATCTAACGTTCAATCAGATCAACGAGAGTGGTATACAAGCAAACCAAATTATTACTTCCCCAAGATCGAACAATACCCCGATCTGAAAACTGCTACTGGAATATTTGTAATTAGTACACTTGGTATTTTAGTACTTTTATCAGGTTGGATGATGATTCTTTATAGAATGGGTATTCGTGCGAGAAATCAAAGAGAACTTCAAAATCAATTACAAACCATAAGTGAGCTTTTAGGTAAACCTATTTCTTTAATTTCCATAAGACTTTACTTTAAAAAATTAATTTAAAATTCTAAAGATCGTGATCGTCAAGAAGATCAGACAGATAATCCACCAGATTATGAAGCTCCTCCAGAGTACGACGAAGTTGTAAAATTTAAAACGGGGACTGAAGGAACTTCAAAACAGAGAGGTCGGCGAAACAAAAGAAAGCAAAGACATAGCAAAGACCAAAAGAATCAGTAAGTTGAACAAACATTATAATTTGTAGTGAACTATTGCTTTTTAATTAAGAATACATAAATGTAAACAGGCTAAGTCGGATGAAAGACAAAGAACTTTCGCACACCAATGATTCTGCAAAAACTGACGAAGTTTCTAATATACTTTCTGACCACATGCAGTCATTGTCAAATATAGTAGTAAACTCCACTGCAACTTGTGGTAAATATTTTTTAGTTTAGAATTTATTTTTATTTAAAGATGTTTTAGAAAAGTTAAGACATGAACTTAAGAAATAAAAAAAAGTTAAGACATGAACTTGCAGAAAATTCAAAAACAATTGCGTCGAAAACAGAAGTTGACAGCACAAGCTGCGTTTTACCAACAAGACATCCCAAAAAGACCACCAAAACGAGCTCAAACGATCAATCCACTTCGTATGTTCGAATTAAAATATAATTTTTATATCAGGTATTACATAAATATTAAAGTATAAATGTTTTTAGCGCATACAGTAGCGACGCGTCGACGCCATTTGAGGAAAGCTCATCACCATTCGGCGATGATTCACTGAATATTTCATTAACTTTAACTATGTCAAACACTAAAATTTGTAAGTAAATTTTATACATGTTCATATTACAAAATCCGCGAAATTTATATTTTCATGTTATACAGTACGTGCGTCGAAAAATCACGAGTCGTTATACAGTGAAAAAAATAATCTTAAGAAAGCTTGGGTAATATTTGATAATGGACATGTTCAAACAATTCAAAGTAAAAGAATGAGGCTTCGGCATACACTTTCTTCGCCGGAAACATTTTTACACCATCTTCAATCATCCGATGATACAAATTATGCCAATATTTATAATGAAAGGTAGGCTTGGTGTTAACTTTAAATATTAAGAACTTGATAATTCTTTTTGAAAATATATTCGATACAAGTTATGTATATATTCACTTAGAAATACACAATAATATTTCTGAAAACAGAGATATTTGTATAAAATGCTAAAAATCGAAAGTTTTATCTGCAATATAGTCATGAGTATTATAAATTTTTATGTGTTGAAAGAAATTAACCTTTACCAGCAAAAAAGGAATACATTTTGTAAAAATTATATTACAATAATGTGAAACTATTCTAATTTTGAATTAAAACTAATTGGTGATTTTTTTCATCTTTAATACTAAAAAAAAGAGAAAAATCCCAAATTTGAAATTGTTGCCATTTATTATTATATCATAAATAATTTTGGGTCAAAAACGGATTCTTAACAAAACTCTGATTCGAATAATTTAAGGGAAGACAGTACATTTTTACCGCTACAAAATTATCCGTGTCTTTTGTCTTTAAAAAAGTTCCTACCCGATATTATAATAAATTCGCTTTTACTTTGTGTAAAAATTTGACCACAATGAAAAACAGTATCGAACAGAATTGCTCTAAAATGAAACAACAAATTTTAATTTGCTAATAGGACGACCGCTAATTTTCTTCAATTTTAGAAATCGAAGCAATAAAATATGCTTCCACGAATTTGGAAAATGAGCTATAGCTTTTATTTGATTAAATAGAATTGTAAATTGTTAATAGAATATCAAAAATTTTGTTAATTCGCTAATTATTAATTTCTAAAAGTCTGAAATGTACCATTTGGTAAAAGCTGAAAATGAAAAAACACTGAAGCAAAACATAAAGAGTTGCGAGATATTGGAAAAAAACATTGAGCTAGAAAAATCAAAAGTATATAGGATATTATGTATTTATGGAATATGTATTAATATTAACATGCACGTACATAATTTTGATGTTTGTTTTTTTTCGATGTTTTTATATTTGAAGTTATACAATCGCTCATTATGTATTATTTCGTTTAATTTGAAGATAGATGCCAGTAAAGCCCGTTGTGATACCCCCGGATCCACGAAATCCACCGCCCTCACGAGAACCAAACCCAGCTTTTCAGAAACCAGCTAAGACCCGTAGCATTTACATTCGCAAGATCGCAGTTAGTAAATTGACCCAAGAAATATCCGTCTTCTTTTTACTAAAGCCAAACACGAGCAAAGCAGATGAACTACCGTTTTCTCCTCCTCCTCGTCACAGCAGCTTCTGCAGGGATAGTTCGCAGGGCGGCCAATCCTCCTGGTGTGTTCGCCAATAAGGCAATGATCCGTTATGATCCCTATCACTGCTCTAATGCATCTTCGGTGAAGAGCCCATCTTTGATTAGCTTGCCCAATTGCCACATTGCGTAGCAGCAATGTGTGCATGTTCAGAAGCATTCCAAGGTCCTACTTTTCACCCTGAGTTACTATAATCATATTTTTCAAAAATATCTTCCCTGCTGTTTACTTGGATTCCGCTGTGTCCTGGAACCCAAGTTTCAGGTTAGTTTCGAATTGACCCGCCAACTCCTTGACTTGCAGTCTCGGACAGTTTTAGAAGTAGATGTTTCTGATTCGAGCGCCCTTGTTACTGCCTGGTTCTCGGTAAAGATACTGATTTTCTTGCAGGATATCACGTTGACCATTTAGCTGTCATTTAGTTCTGATCCGTCAGTGTGGAAATGGATAGGTTCAACTCACATGTTGCCTTCTTCTTACCAGGTTTGCCTAGGCCTAGACCTACACGAGTGGTTGCCTTTCTTACTCTTTCTGCAATGTTGGAGTCCTAAACAAGACCTTAGAATTTAATCTCCATGGAAAAGCTAAGCCTTGCCCCACTTAGTGTTGGCGGAACCACGCTCGGCACCTTATACTTTCTGCTGTAAATGACCAGTTCCGTCTTCTGAGGGTTCATTGCTAGCCAAATATTTTCCTTTGGAAAATTACTTTTTATATGTGCTATACCATTATATAGCACTGAAATGACATTATGAACTTAACGATTGAAGAATTAACATAATTTTTTTTTCATGTTTTAAAAGAAGCAAATTTTTCAGCAAAGTTGAAATTAGAATATTGAAGATTAAGAAATAGAATCAACACTTGTTCAAAATAAATAGTATAACAATAATTGCTTAGTTAATTGTTATACATGTTTCACTTAAGCTTAAGATGTCGCCAAAAAAAGGGAAAATGCATGTTTCTTTTCAGGTGAAAAATTTTACACTGGTGTAGATGTCTTTTAAATATATGGGTCTTTGATATAAGTTAACTTTTTATAGTTTGATCACATGTTATCTCGTTTAATATTAATTATTTCAATTCAGTTAAATAGCTAATCCGTTCAATTTGAAATCTAACTTGATAGTGGGATTTACAATTAATTTTTGTTTTTGATAAAAAGCTCTAGCTTTACAAGAAACTCGGTCCATCTGCCTGACTATTTCGTATTTGCGCCCCTAACCACAGTCGTATAAGTTAGTCCTTCGTTTACATCCGCAAATAGATTTGGGTAAGTTTTCAGAAATCTTTGCTTTTTTTGTGTATTCATTCCTGAGTTTTTCTGCGTCTGTTGCGTATCATTTGGTCTATTTCCAGTAATGTAAACTCTCTTGGTAGGTTAATGTTTTTAATATTTTCTTTTTTTTTCTGATAATAATCAAGTTACTCAAAATAATATACATAAATTATATTCGAAATTGCGAAAATTTTTATAGTTAAAATTTATGTTACTTTTTTTTAAACTTTGTCAAAATTTTCGCTTTTAAATACGATAATTCTGAAATTATTGAAAATATTTGGTAGTGAAATGAAAGTGAGGCAATGCCTTTCATTTTGGAAAAGAATAGCTGCTTGTTAATAATGCATAATTCTGGGCAAAAAACTTAAAAAATGTTGTTTTGGTGTTGAAAATTCAGGTATTCGCCTATGCCAGACAAATCAATTTGTTAAACGAAAGTTAAAAGTTTTTATGTAAAAAAGGAAAAGGAGTCTACAAGACTTCTTTTCCTGTAAAAAAAATGTTAGGTTAGTGAAGTATAATTGTTAGTAAATGAAAATTAATGGAAAATTTTTTTTGGATTTTTTTAAAGTTTTGACTTATTTCACTTAATTACTCTGAAACTAGAAAATTTGTTTCAGAAATTCTAAGGCCTCGTAACTCAAGAAAAGGGTCTCGAAAAGTGTCAGAGTCTCGGATAACCTGCGTATAGCTGAATATTGCCTAAGGCTTCAATCATTTTCAAGATTATAGATGAATGTGAAATTAGTCTATAGTTAGTAATATTATTTTTTATTTCAAAATTTTCAAAATTAAAAATATGTAAGTAATTTACTCCTTTAATAAATTTATTAAGGGAGTAAATTACTTTATTAGAATTAAGGACGATCTTATTAAAATATCGGGACAGATCAAATCAGATCTCATAAGTTGAAAAACGAATATCACGTTCGCGACATCGCAAAAAATTCTTCTGAACCCACTCAATCCTATTAATATGAATATTGTAAAAATGCGACCAAACTTGCGAGGGGTATTCAAGATAGGTACGATACGGAGACAAATGTAGGGAGTTTAAAATATGGGGGTCGTTAAACTCCCTTGACCAGCGTTTCATAAATCCCAACATAGAGCTTGACCTGCCAACCAAATAGTTGTAACGATTGGGGAATCATGGCTTATTATCAAAGTAAACGCCTAAGTCCATAATTAAATCAGCCCCACTAATAACTTGATCATTTAAAGTATAATTTGATATTATTGGCTATCTCTGCCTGGAATAACACATTAGCGCGCACTTGCTAATGAAGTTGTTACTAGTGCACCACCTGCGAAAGTTATCCAGATCACTCTGTAGAGAAACTACGTCATTTACAGAGCGAATGCTTTTGAAAATTTTCATAATCGTACAATCAGCATAAATTAACACTCCACTGCAAATCAAAACGGGCGCTACGTCATTAACAGCGATGGTGAAGAACAATGGACCCAGCTGACTGCCCTGGGGAGCTCCAGAAACAGCCACAAGCGGTAACGAGACCGCTGAACGAAAAAGGACCCTGTATTCCCTTCCGGAAAGATAAGAGTCAACCCAATTTACAAAATTGTTGGGAAAACCATATAACCTCAATTTCAAAAGAATTACGTTGTGTGATAAAACTTCAAAGGCTTTGCTGTAAATCACATCCGTTTGACACCCATCTTTCTTATTATTTAAAAAACAGAAGCAGCTTCCACCAGATTAGTCACCGTTGATCTCTTTTGAGAAAACCGTGCTGGCAACTACTAATAAATGGAATGCAGTGGGAGTAAATGCTATCATATATCACTGATTCGAAAACCTCTTTCGGAGTGGCCGAAAGTTAAGCAATAGAACAATAGTCTACCACATCACTTTTATTGCCCTTCTTATGAATGGGTCTAATGAAGGCTTCCTTCCAAACGGATGGGAATACTCCTGAAAGCAAAACTTATTGAAAACAATAGATAGCTTAGTCGCTAAAGAAGAGCACATGCTAGTGCCTGCCTTTTTAGAATTCAAAACTTTGTTTTCTGGATCCCTAATTGCTTTTGCTTATAACTAGTGCATTATGCCGCTGTTTAACAGGCCACTGAAAATTATGGAAATCATACATGTCAAACAAAAAGAATTTTATTAATTACTTTGAAAACTAGTCGTGTGTGCTTGCATTGCAAGCTTTGCAAGGATTGTGCCTGTAGTTTTGGAATTGTGTTCCATTCTTGGCTGAGATATTTTAAGTTTACTTTATTTTTTCAAAAACACACCCGTAATATACATATAGATATGTGTTTTCCTAATGAATAATAAGATAAAACTTAAAATAAGAAAAGTTCTGAAAAATAATTACCAAAAAATACATAATTAAACAAATAATTAGTTCCTTTGAGATCTAACACTTTTTGAGTAATTTATTTCAGAACCTCGCTTTGAGGTATGTCGCATAAAATCGTAAAATACCTTCGAC